AAATTAGTTATTTTATGTTGTAGGTAATTAAATTACCTACAAAGTAATGTACCTAAAGTCATATTTCACCATTTTGTTAACTGTAAAATAAAAGTCGAATTATTATTTCAAAAAGCGGATGAATGTTGATGAAATTTATGGAAAAGATAGTCAACCCAATGACCAACATGTGTACCAAAGGCCGATTCCATTGCAAAACAGCGTTATAAATAAATTGTCCCAAGGTCAGGCAAAAGACGCTCGGGAATACGCTCTTTTTGCATTAATTAAAGCTTATTTTTACGTTAATTTAAAAAATATATCACCTACGCCTCTTTTTATGATCTAATTCGACTGGACTATATTCTTTCACTGAAATTGTTGAAAATGATGGTCATTTTAAAAGAGTTGTTTCCTGCAATATCAACAGTTAGTAATCTTGGTATCTCGAATTTTGATGTCAAAGAACACTATTTGATTCTATTCTATTTTTGAATTATGTAGTTTGAATTAGACAATACCTTTATAAAGAGTAAAACATATCTTCAAATATTTGAACAATTTGTAAAATCAAAAAATTACAGCAGATTCCAATACAACTTCATCAAATTGGCCCATCCGCTTTTTCATAAACTATACCTATCTCAAATTATATTTTTTTCCTAAAGAATTCTTCAATCGGTAATACATTTTTCGAGAAGCAAAGCAAAAACTCAAATAAAAATATACTATGTTTAAAATTGTTTTAAAAGAGGCTTTGCATGTTTGTTCTACCATATCATTATTAAATTTAAATTCCTTATGGATGTAATTTAGGAGTGAATAATATTTATTAGATCAAAGACAAATTTGCTACACGCGATTAATTTGCACGTTATTTGTTTGATGAAGACGTTGATCCAAAACTTGTTTTAATCGATTTTTCACATGATCCAGATTTGAAAAATACCCCGTTAGTTATCGGCGATATTTTTCATTTTATATTTTCATTCCAGGATCGGCACTTTCAAAGAACTCTCTTGGATCTCAAAGGCAATATTTGCGTTAAAAATTTAAAACAACAGAGTTTAAAGGAGCCGCTCTATCACAACGGCTTTAATAGGTCAACCGCGCTAGAGAAATATCAAAAGGTGGCGTAATATTTAAAATTTTAAATAAATATTTTAAGGTGATATATCGTTTTGTTGCCTTTGAGGTGGAAGGTTTATTTTATTACAAGGAATTTATGTTGTTTGGAAGGCGAATCTAACGTATTATGTTTTGTAAAACTGTCGGCGATCTTTTGATTTCGCGTTTTATATTACAGGCCATCGATTAGACGGGCTAAATTACGGTCCCTTATTTTTAGTTTCGGAATCCGTTTTCAATAATTCATTACCGCTTGGGTTCCATCTGGTGTGGAGGATCACCAGTTCGCGGTTTTTGCGTTTCGATTGTGCCGGGGCCTTCTGGGACAGGCGCCCCCGCCAAACGGTAATGTTCATGTAAAGTTGAAGACCGTCCCCGAGGGTTCAACCCGTCCTCGCGATTGCACTCACTCGACGTTATGAATACGGGAGATCCGGAATTGAAACGGAAATGCACTTTTAATTTAGCGATGGGATTGAAAAGAAGTTTTGCCACTAAATCTGCTCAATATTTATTGAGAATTCTCTATAAAGAATTTCAAATGAAATTAGAAAATTGGTAAAATATGTTTTAGTAAAATTTCACAATGTATTTCCCTACTATTTTTATTTAAGCGTACAAAAACTGTGTTAATTAGTAACATTTACAGGCTAACGCGTGGTATATAGGACACGAGTATGTAGGTCTTTGATAGTTTTTGTTCTAATTTGTTTGATAACAAATTGATGTTACTATGTTGGGCTTGAGAAATATAAACACATTAAAAGTAGGCATTAGTATTTTATAAGGATGGAAATGTTTTTGTTTACGTAACTTGAGTATCTTTCAACAGGGACCATATTCTCATTTGCTTGTAAAAGCCTATTTAATTGTTACCACCTAAATTGTTATTATTAAATTAATTGAATAACTTTTCCTGGTCTACCAAACACATGTTTATATTTCCGTGACAAAAACTGGAGTACGTTGAGGAATGTCGATTAAACAAAATTGCTCGATAAATTTTGCTCTCCGCATCCACCCCAGGAATGGTCATTTTGGTGTCCACGAGCAGCATTCTGTTGTATAATGGAGTTTCGGACGGCGTTCAAGAATGTGTCGGATCATCCGGCGCCTACTCTGCGGTTTTTATCACTTCGGATCGCCATCAATCACCAGAGATCAGCGGCGTACTCAAAATCTTCCGTAAAAGCGGGTTAAAAGGAAAGAAACCGAGGTAGATATTACCGTCTATAATACAAAGCCTCACATCTGACGCGTCATCGCCCAGAGACGTCACTACTAGTGGTTTAAATCGTAAGTAACATGAACCGGCGTTGGCATTGTTGTTAGTTTAATATAAAAAATTGCCAACTGTTACAAATGCCTTTAGTTGCCGTAGATCCCTTTCCCCCTCCCAGCACCGCACTGCTTGGAACTTTGACCTCAGCACGTGTACCGCATTACAGACCGAACAGGAGACTTAATCGAAACCTCCCTATTCATGTTCTAAAACGTCATTAATTTTCCTGTCTTTCGCCGCGAATTGACCAACAAGTTGACAGGTTTTTTCGTTCAATTTGCATTATATCTAGGGTTTCTGGTCGAGACTTCTCGAAGCGAGAATTCCCGGGAAATCTGGCCTTACCTACTCGAGACGAGAAAAAAGTGTCGAGAAATCGAGAAATTTAAAAATCACGCGCGTCTTAAGTTCTTGACTGGAGTTCGTTTCGTTCATGCGTTCAATTCGTTTCTCGACAAATAACTCAGCGGTTAAAGTGGTTTCTCTACCAGCTCATGATTTATTTATTTTAAGTTTTTAAGGCTTTAAGCAGATACCTAATGTTGATGTTGATTATGAAAATATTTAGTTCCTGTTCCTTTAGTTGATTATTTTATTTTTGTTTTGTTAATTAAAAGATTGTGATTATAAGTGATAAATTAATTAAGAACGCTTCTGTTTCTTTAAATTAAAGCTTGTTTTTTTTAAGATTTCTTCGGTTAAATTCCTTATTTACTATTTATTTAATTAAAAGACTGCATGATTAGTGATTATTAATAATTATTATTGGAAGAAAGCTACGATTCAAAAACATTGAAATAAACATAAGTATGACATCCCTCCTTTATGATGTGCCGTGAAGCTTTAAGGATAGCCAATATTCAAAACTAAAAAGCAAATTGTCTATTGTAAGCACGTAAACATATAAACTTTCACTACTCGCTCTCCGCTATTTATTTTTAACCAAAGGATTATCCTTGGTTCGAAATTATTTCGTTTCAACGGGACTTTATGATTCCTAAACTAATACAATCCGTCCTTTGAGCGGAATATAATATTTTACTTTAAATAATTCAATTGGTTCATTCTTCGCACTAACGAAATAATTTACGTATGTAAATTCTTGATCAAAGGAAACGAAGTAAATTACTATTTTCGCGTGAGAGATGAAAGGGTTCGAAAATTCTTAATCGGAACAAAAATTATAAACCGAATTATTGTAACATCCAAAAATATGATCAGTGTTAAAAAATCATACTTAGCGGAATAAATGAATAGAAAAAATTATGACAGGTAATATATGATGCCTCCTCCTTATAGATAGCAGTCTTTTTCTTTTTATACAATAATCTCCTAGAATACGTGCTTAATAAAAATTTTTTGTGTTGTAAGTTACAACAAAACGGAACCAATATGCACTTGCTGGTCAAAGATCAACAGACGGTGCCGTTCAATAGACAATAATCACTTTATTTACACGCTAGTATCAGAAGCCACATTTTATCGAAATTCTTTCTAAACTGATAGTTACCGGAAACGCCAAAACTATGTGAAATAATATAAGTGAGAGATATCTGTGTTACATTATAGTGTCGCATCAGTTGTCAGTATGTATGTTAAACAAGTTGTATTGTTTGTTTTGTTCTACTTGAGTTATTGTCACTGTATCAGAATATGGCGCCACAAGTCTAGTTGTGATAGACCAGGCACTGGATTTACGTGTTTGCCCAAAATTGGAGACAAAAGAACTATAATTTTCGAGTGCCCCTCGAAGACAAGGGTAAGTAAGTGCAATTAAATAACATACAATAAATAGGGAATTTGTTAAATAATGTAGAAAAGATTACTGAATACCGATACATTTTTCTTCTACTTCATCTAGTACTGAATTTTTTTCTGAACTCAACGATATACAAGAACGTAATTTTTACGTAGATTTTTGCCAAAAAAAATACGTGAAAACATATAAAATACTCGTTAATATTAATTTGAGCGCTCCAATAAAATTCTGTCATTTATGACAGAAACATATTATTAAATTAACCAAAATAATCATGTTATTTAATGCATCAAAAATCAAATTATCACATATAGTTAAATTCCGTAAAAAGTCAGGTTAAAGCACGTTTTTTTCACCTCCTAATAAATTTGTTTGCCTCAACATTTGCTTAAAAAAAACATACGCATATAAAAAAATTGACAGATATAGTATAATTGACAATTAAACTTACTTGGCAGTAGAAAAAACGGACCTAAAATCTGAAATGTATATCCTTTCAGTTGAAAAAACAAATGACAATCGTCTATGGTGACTTTGTATCCATTAATAATAATTTTTTTGTTTCGGAAATCGTCCCAAAAGTGTCAGTATTAATAATAAATGAAAAATATATAATGTTTAATATACATACATGCAAAACAGGAAGTGGTTATTTGTTTATAGAACAATTGTATTTTTATTTCTGTCCATAAACGATAATATAATTTTTATAAAAGATAGCTTTCAAATAACTATAACTTTTGATCTAATTAAAATTATAACAAAATTCATAGTGGAGTTAAAAATTGTTGTTAGTAATCATACCTTTATACAATATTTCAAGTGTTGTATTCAAATATATTCTATTTTCAGGACTACCACATATACGTTAACGAATTCAGCGGTCCCAGAACTCTGGAAAATTTAATCATAAAAAACTGTAAAACCCTCACAGTCCTATTTCGATGCACCAAATACGCATGGGAGAAGAAAAACCTGAAATACCTAGAAATATCCAACATTGAGAAACTGAAGATCCAAAGCGTGGCGCTGTATCAGTCCCTGCTGCCCCCAACCGTCGTCTTCGAGAACATAAAACTCATAGAAAATATTCCCAGCCACACCTTCACCCAAACCAACAAGAAACTGAATATAATAAGGTGCGTTTTGCCCTATTACAATTTTCACTCTATAAATTTTCGTAATGTTTCAATAAATACAGTTCAAGCAAAGGCGTTTTATATGCCAGACAGCTTCGGAAATGTCACTTTCACCAACGTAATAATAAGAACGTTAGAAAGCTCGTCCATTATAGTAAACCATGACCATAAGAGTGTTTTTCTGTTTGAAGACAGTACAGTGGGGCTTGTAAAACCATCAGCTGTACGAGTAGTTGCACAAAAAAACATTTTCTCAAACAACGGGTTCGGGGAAATCTTACCTGTTGGTATTAGAGCCACAACTGATGAATTTAACTTTATAAACAATACAGTGCATAAACTATTGCATCGCCAGGGGCTCACAGTTACCTCCCAACATGTACTCGTGACCACCAATCATTTCAAATACTTAAAAACTGGTGCTTTCTTTGGACTGGGTGGTTCAGAGAAACAGTTTGGACGCTACCAATTTGTTGGGAACGTGGTGGATTTCGTAGAGGAAGACAGTCTGCTTCCTAAATTATATTCGTACAGGAATGTTTCTGGCCAGATAGCGTTTAAGAAGAATACTTTCTCTTGTGAATGCTATCAGTCAGGTGAGTGAATCAGAAAAAGAAACTAAGGAAAAGTTTGTGTGAATCAATGCATATTTTTCAGGGTTGCTTCTGTCAAGGATAGGAAAAGGGAACACCCATACCACTACAGATGAATTCTATAAAATAGTATTTGATGAACGATCTGAAAACGTATGTTCGAGCACCTGCAACTTGCCGCTTTCCGCTGCTAAGGATAAGATTGTCCAAGGGAAATGTACTAACAGAATAACTGTTGCTGGTCTCTGCACATCAAGGAAGAAAACTGAACTTAAACTAGTTACTAGTTCACCTAGATCTGGCACTCCTCTATCGCCATTTACCAAGCCCTCTTATGTCATTCAAAGTAGCAATAAGCCAGTTCCTAACAAGTTTAAATTAGAAGCAAAAACAACCCGTTTTGTATTACCCACAACACGTATGGTGACTACCACAACTTCATCCTTCATATCATTCCATGGTACCACCAATAAACAATCCATCAACAAGCAGGAGATCCGAAGGACAACAGTGACTTTACCAACAACACAAAAATTAACAACTCACATTGTTGAACCAACTAAAATGTTGCCTGTAAAATATGTTACACCTAATATTTATTCCTCATCATCTAAAAATCCCTTCGGAGCTTCCAACGACGATTTGCTTTTACCATCGTTCAAAACAAAATTGGAGACCAACAAATCGACTGTAAAATATGAATATGCTGCACCTACTACTGATTTCTCCTCGGAAGAAAACAAGGACGAAAAGTTGAAAAGCAAGAACACATCTCCACTACCTGTTAAATACGAAATAACTACTTCCTCCAGATATACCATACCTAATATTTCTGCTTCAGAAACTTCTGCATCTCCATTTTCTGGTAAATATACCGATGGATCAACGGTTGCAATACCAACAAAAGATGAACTGACCTCTTTTTCAACTGATTCATCAACCGAAGAAAACACGTCTCATTCGTCTTTAGAAACTTCTTCTACTTTATTTGATAAAACCACTAACAGTGACTTATCAACAGAAGATGAAATGACTTCCACTGACAGATCAACTGAAGAAATTACATTTTCTTCTTCGTCTTCTTCAGAAACGTCTTTCTCTACGTTTCGTCAAAGAAATGGCAGTGATATCCATTTGGTAACAAGAAACCAACAACCAAAGGCCAAGGTCATCTCTACATTGTCAACATCAGTATATAATTTGACTACAGCTACTTTTTCAGTAACAACAGTACCAACTACTAAATATAAAGCTGCAGGATCATTAACACCTACCCCAAAAGAGATATCAGCATTTGATGAAGAATTTAAAGTAAAAACATCAAATTCAAATCTCAAAGCGATAGTGGGAAATTGTTCTAAGACTTATTCTTTATCTTTTTCGCTTCTACTCTTCTTAATTAGCTTTGTATTAAGTCTCTTATAATTTAATTAAAACTCGTAATATTTGTAGGGAAAATTAGACATTATTTACTTCTATTATTATTATTATTATTATTATTATTATTAAAGTTAGATTTAATTTTCACCGCTTCCTATTTACATCAAAATGAAACAATAAAGTATTATACAGGATGTCNATTATTATTATTATTATTAACAATTATTCAATACGGCCTTATTAAATAAATAAGTCGTAGTAGATATTCACATTATTCAATAGGATTTACTTTATTTAGATTAATATTTAAAAATATGCTATTTTTTATGTTTATTGGAGAAAATGGCGCATGCGCTAGTCACAAAGTATGTTCTATTAAGCCATGTTAAAATTGCACTATTACTGACATTCAAATTATTCTTTAAACTTCAGACAAGTTATGAACAACCTGAAATCAATAGACCAATCATTAACTTTAAATGGTTTCATTGGCTACTTCAGTGATATCGACCATAAAGTACAAAAATTAGTTTTGCGTTTCATGAACGATTTTTATCATGTATGGCATTAGTTACTTTTATACATTTTTAATAACTTAATGACTTGTATTTTGGAAACACGCACAATGTTAATTTAGTATATTTATCGCGTGTTTTTTATGCGACCCATCTAAAATTTTACCCTTAGTTAATATATTTTTGTTTGTTGGATTTAATTTCGGCTTTGTTCACCTTCTTTTTATATCTATATGATTACTGGTATCAGTACATTCTTTAAAACAGTGGCAAAGATAAACAATTGCATTTTAGGATTATATTCATTGGTGTTGAAAATCTGAAGTTGTCAGTGAGGTGTCTGAAAGGTAGGTACAGGGTGTCCAAAAGAAAATATGCCATAATTCCTTGAATAAAACAAATTGTAAATTTTCTAAAATTATTATCAGTCAGTATTGTAGGACAATTTACTTGTAATCATTTTAGGAACAATTGCTGGGATTTTTATGACGTCATCTTCTGTGTTAATTAATATAAGATTAGATCATTATTTTGCTGTTTTGTATCACTGACTTCAAACTATTCTTAAAAATAATATTTAGGTATATGTGTATCTATTTTGTGTTTATTGTCAAGAAAAAATATTTACATTATTTTATAAGCTATAATGGAATCGCAATTGCCATGCTGAAAAGTAGGTAGGTACTTATTCATTTAATTATCTAATGATTTTGTTTAGTAGATATTAAACGAATAGTATTATTTTTACTGGTAATTTAATTTTTGTATATGTTAAATTTTATGGATATGCAATTTTTCGTTTTGTTCATGCTAGTACAATTATCACGGTCCGTACGATGTTTGTTGAGATAGAATCCCAGAAAGAATTCTTGGAAATATGGTATACAGGGTGATTCAAAGTTTAATCAAAAAATTTTTGAAATAAATGTGTCATGAAAAATGGAGATATCGTAAAAAAAATTATAAAATCCTTATAGTTTCTGAGAAAAAAATTATTGAAGTTGTAATATTTTAAACCCTTACATCACTGGGCTACTCTAGCCTCTAGAGTCATTCGCATTGTGCGCTCTCTTTTCACGTGGCCCTAAGCGTTTCCGAATACTGAAATCCGATTTTAGTTTAGTATTAACATTTTTGCGATAGTGTTTACATTAGTTTTTCAAGTATCAAAAATGGCTAAAATTTAAAATAATCTTTAAGCCCACACTGTATGTTAAATTTTATCTCAATTTCAAATGAATGGAAATATTATATGTAATACAGAAACATTGTAGTATCAAAAAAATATATATATTTAAAAAATATCACGATGTAAAATTTAAAAAAATTGTAAAAGTACAAAGATTCTGTAAATATACAAGACCGTACTGTACTAAAAAAAAAATATATGTATATATGTACAAGTTTTTCTTGAAATTACTAATAAAATTATAAAAAAATAATTTCAGTGTAGATGCAGTGCTTAAGTAGCGCAATTTAGCCACTTACCCAATGATTTAATTGGACATTTATGCGCTTGTTATCGCTTTTTGATATACGGCAAATAAAAAAGTAGTAAAAGCGCCGATTACACCCATTAATTTTACACGTTTTCACTCTCTAATACAAGCAATAGCCCCCTCCAAGGCGTTTAACGATCGTAAACCACCGCACCGGTACGTCCTAACCTAATTCTGCACGCGACACCTACCTTCGCCGATCTGACGCCCATCGACGACCATGCGGAGCACCACGCACACCAGATCCACGCTAACCTCACACGTTAGCCCACTCACTAGCCCGACAGAGGTCCATTTCCTCGCGAAATCGCGATTTTTCACTGCGGAATGCGCCACGAGACACCGTAAACAAAGCAAATGGCGGTCGACGTCGCGACGCGAGGCGATCGATACGCCGACGTAGCGTGCAATCGTCCAGTTGAAGGTTGCGGGTCGAGGTGGCGGACGTGAAGGGGTTGCCTGCAGGGGTGCGGTTGTGCGGCTGGAAGGGACACATGCGTAGAGGCGCCAGCATCGGTGTCGTCGGTTTTCGTGATTTTTCAGATGCCGCCGCCAGTTGTTCACCTCTCGGTGGTTCCTTTTTGTTTTGTTTTTCGTGGGGGGGCGGGTATCGAGCTTTGATTGTTTCATTCTGAATTATGCATTCATCATAGTTGCACGATACGTACTCAAGTTTTATATTCTATTTTTAAGATAATTCAAACAAATTCAATTTTTTTTTCTAAATAGTCTTATCAAATGCAGTAAAAAATTTTATGTGTAGGTACTGTCAAAATAAACTAAATATGAACTGGAAAAAATATGAATTTTGTTCTATCTTTTTAGGACACACTGTATATTAAAGATAATACGGATAAATATAATTGTTAATTCAGTACCAAATTAATGAATCAAATGTAAGTTAGTAGGTAGGTGTACTTTTCTCAATTAAAAAATTAACCAATGTTAAAATATTTCCATTTAAGTATTTATTCAGTATCATTTTACCCTTAACCCCTCACTTCTCTTTAACATCGCATTCAATAGTTAAACAGAAAATATCTTTATTTTCGTCGTCCCTCAGAAACAGGTTTCCTTTGTAAGATCCTTCCCCGAAAATGATTGTGTACGACGAAACGTCACTCTCTTTGAGTTGTAAATCTTTCATGACATATTCCCCCTAGAAGCAAACAAATAGTAAATGTACTTTTTATTAATTAATTAATTAATTAATTAATTAACCCTTGCGGCCAAATAGTCGACCAAGGTTGTTGTTGCATAACAAGAAATGTGATCCCAAAAGAAATACGGATAAGATATAAGCCTGAGTTCTCCCGTTTCGTTTCCAAAATCAGTGAGACTCGACCAAAATTTTGAAAAACAAATCAATAGTTACAAAGCCTACAGTCATTTGTTATTGCACGAACGGCTTCATAAAAAATATGAGTGAAACTTAAGTACATTACATTTTCTCCAGTTTAAGAGGTCATAAAAACAGCCCTGATTTTTTTCTTTTATAGCAAGGAGCAAAAAAATAAGAAATATATTAATTTCTGTCTGTTTCCTTTTTTGAAGAATCTTCCCGTACTTACTGCGGCAAGATTACAGCCATCCGGCAGAGCTGGTTGCGTTGCTGACTTAACGACAGCCCAAAGCTGTGATACCTTGAGAACAAGCTCGCACCATGGGTCATCATAATCTTGGTGTACTACCCAGTTACCATTCTTCAAATAATATGTTTTCAGAATCGCCTAAAATACGTACTTTTATGATCGCACATTAAGGAAAAGTCCTGTTTTGGTTTAAAAATAAAAAACCCTCAAAATGCTATAAACGTATTATTTTTATATTTTTTATAAAACTACATCTCAAAACGAACAAAATGAAAAAACAGTTTATGATATCTTTAGTTTTTGCCAAATTACAATTTTATTTGCCTGGTGTACTTCCCAAAGTAACCCTCACATGATCCAAATAATTCTAAGAATAATAATAGATGATTGATGTGACCCATATTTTGATCGGTAATTTTTTCCGATTTCAACATCTGAGGTTAGAAAACGACCCTACGATCTATGTTTATATAAAAAATTTTATTTAAAATAATTCTGTCACGATTAAAACCTTTGTCAGATCCATGAGACAGGAGAGGGTCGAAATTTCGCCCGACAAAACTTCTTTCGAAAATGATTTTGTATCTGAGAATGTAGTTTGATGTACGCATGGAAAAAATATGGCGTTGTTAAAGGGTTGGGAATCCAAAATAAATAACACCCTGTATTTTAGTCTTACATACTCGGGAAACATATTTCACTCAAATAAACAAAGACGTGTACCGATTAAGAAGTGTTTAGCTAAAACGGTTGTCAGTAATATAAAAAGGAACAGTTTACTTACTTTATAATTTTCATCTAAGTCATAGTTTATATTTAATCTCATGTTAAAGGATTTTTCGCCCTTATCATTAGTAATCAGTTGGACATCTCCATCGATCGGATCTTCCACTGGACATTTCTCAACACTTTTAATATCAAATATTTTCTAAAACAGCAAAAAGTTTTATTTAGCCTTCGTCATCCCCCAGCAAAATAACATTATCTAACAACTTACATACATGAAGAAAAAAAATAATTGACTGTTGCTTATAAAGTAAATAAATAAAAATAAATTTCTTTTTCAATATGAAAAGTGTTCTCTTTAATAAAATGTATAAACTTTACTCACAACACCGTAAACCGCCCAATGAATGTGACATGTCAGAAAAACAAACAGAAAATACAGCAAAACCTTCGCCATATTGCAAAGATTAGTTTATTCTGAAAATACACGACCAAAACTTATATATAAAGCGAACTTCGTTGTATTTTTTTTATATTCATATTTCATATCACGCAAACCATTATTGTTCATCAGTTTTTCTGAATATCATTATTAACATTTCCTAGACACGATATTTTTTAATAAATAGTGTACTAGTGTTGTTAATGACAATTTAACTTCATTGGAAAATATTATAAAAAAATCTACAACTTTGTATTAATAGAACGTGAACAAGTAAACAAAAACATTGAAATTATAATAATCAATTTTTTTATCAATAATATATGGAAGAGATATTAACAGTGTTAAAATAAAATGTATTATTTTAAAACAGCATATTCTCTTAGGTAAGGTTTTGATATTGCTTAATACATGGTCTTTTACAAAAGCTCAATCAAGAAGTACAAGCGCTGGAAACAAATACTTTGGTGTGAGTGAAACTATTTTAAATTATTAGAGTTAAACGATTAAAAAAGTCTGTTTTGAAAAAATACCTTTATTGATTCCCAAAGATAATGGAAAATAATGGAATTGAATATCACTCCAATTTTTGTAATCTTTATTTCAAATATTACATGACAATCATCTCTTTTACATTTGCAATTAAGTAGGCGATTGTTGTTTCATTATCCCCATCTGCCAATTTTATATAATTCAATTAATTTTGCTTCTAAAAAATCGTACTGTAACTTTTTTTTAAGGTGGTTTTATATTTGATAAGTAGTATAAATTTTAGCTCAAAATATTTATTAGTTTTTGTTAAAAGCTATTTATTATGTAAAAAAGGCTCTTGGCAAATTCAAATTTCTTCATCTTCGAGACGTCATAGAGACTTGTTCGAGGGGTTATTTTACTCGTGAAGAGTTGTACTACAACGGACAATATAGGAAAAGTTGATTATTGAAGTGTAAATTGTTTAATAAACATTAAGTTGAAAATCAAGCCTTTTTAATATTAAAATTTAAGTGGTAAATATTTTTCAGATAAAATTTTCACATCAATTATTTAATTGCTGCAGTTTTTATGCAAATTTTGAGCCATCACTCGTTGCTCTACGATGCTCTGGAGCTGATTTTTTTTTTTTTTTTCAAAAAATCTCTGTTAATATTAAGGACTCAAATTTTCAGGTAGTCTAAAGTAAGAGTTCAACTGTCATATCTGACATTTAAACAACAATAAATATTTAAGTTAAGCTATTGAAAAAAGCGGCAGCGCGTTTTTGTGCATTGTGATCAATAAATCTTAATATTAACTGGTCTCAAACTATTCTTCCGAAAATTTTTGATTAATAATATACCCTCTTTTAATTTGTTCTCAAAACAGTACTTTTAAAAAATGGTGTTTCCGTTTATTACGGTCATGTCATATTTGGATAGAGAATTTTCTTCAGGATTGCACAGATATAATACAAAGCTTGACAGTAAAGCAGCATTAATGTAAGATGCAAGAACTTAGACAAATTGATTGATGTTTAGCTACCAAGTCTGACATTATCCTTACGACATACTCTGACGGTCGTATTTTCCGTATCATGTCAATATCATCGTAAAAAACAACCACAACTTTCGTATTTATGTACCACTTTTTTATTTTCTATAAATGCAAATGCTTTATTAAAATTTAATGGCAGATTCTACATCTCAAATTAATAAAATTCCTGCAAACATTTATGATGAATTTTTTAATTATAAATTATTAAAATTTATAATTATTAAAAATGTTTTTTTATATTCATCATGTCTAGGTTTACCGCGGCTTTCTTTACAAAATAAAAACGGGTGTAAAGGAATAGGACTGAATAGTGATACGAATATACTAATTTCAGAGTTCATATATTTCAACAACACAACATAATTCAAGTTTTTCTAGTTTCCACTTCGATCACTTGGCATATCAGTTCAGAACCCATTTCGTTCAAAATTCGTCCAGTCACCTTGTAGGTCCCCAATATTCCAACAGGTATATCGTAATCAGTTTGGCTTACATTGAAGGAAGTCAGCTTGTAAGTGTCCTAAAAAAAATTGAATGTATTTTGTTCCACAGTGCTGTTTTTCACGTTTATATCATTCATAAATAGTATACAATTTCTAGAGAAATATCGGCATGTACATGATGTTTCCAAATTGTTGTGCCAAATTAGATGGGATTAGTTGATCGCATTTATTGAATTCCCGTTGAACTCTAGTTTGATAAACAAATATTAGGTCTTACAATTGAAAAATTTTATTTTATCGAGGAATGTTGAGTTTTACCTTTAATTTATGTGACGTTTGAACCCTTTATCTCAATATAAATATAGCTTAACTTACTGCTGGTGCATGACAAACGTCTGGTATCTCTGGTACTATTCCCTTTCTGAATTTTTCCCAAGCTCTGGAAACGTACTGATTTATAATTTGACAGATAGATCCCTCTGTATCGTAGAAGTGCTCCTCCCAATCCCCGTTGTTCCATTTGTCGATATTTAATATGAACTGCAAAGAAGATTCAGTCACATCACTTACGAAAAGAATCGGTTTGAGGAATTTTAATGAAGTAGTTTTATTCTCACAATCAGAGCAATCAAAACGCTTGTATCGAAAAGTTTTACTACTGATAAAACTCCTCAAACTAAGGAAAATATTATGTGATTAGTTTCAGACATATGTATGTATAATGTTGAAGTTACTGTTTGAAATATTGAAAACGCCAAAGATAAACAAATTAAAAAAAACGCAAGTAATTTAAAAATGTTTGCCCATCTTTCTTAGTATCATATTTTTTGCTTATTTATTAAGATCAGAACTTTCAAATTGTACTTTAAAATTGCCCAAATTTCAAATGGTTTAAACTTTTCAAAAGAAGTCAATACATTTTTGATACAAGAAATTTAGGTATGCAAAAGATATCTAACAAACCAGTTTACTTATATTGTCAAAGTGCTAAAATAGCAAAGGATTATAATTTAATATCTACGCAATGTGATGAAAACCACTGTACCCTAAATAATTTGTTATCTGCTATTTTGTACGCTATATATTCGTATTTATTTAGAATTCTTTTTTTTAAATTTTGTACGTTTACACTTTTTGTCCTGTAACTGAAATATTTGTTGTGTTGTGCAGTAAAAGCTTTACTGTTATTAAAGAATAAGAAATGCAAATTTTCACATCACCTTATTCATGAGAAGTTATTTTTATTATGGTGAATTGGAAAATAATTTTGAATGGTACCAAAAGAAACAGGGCGTCGTAATTAATTAATTAATCATTAGTAAGACAAAAAATAGTGATTACCCGAAATATGATTTTCCTTAAAATGAAGTTTCGTTATAAACACTTACCGTCCATTTTTCGGACAAATCGTCTTCCAAAGTCACATCTACATCCAAGACTTTTACACCATCGTCATTTATATTACGGACGTCTATAAAATAATCGTAGTCGGGATCCGATCCTTCGCAAGCGTAAGATCTGAGAGGAAGGATTACGATATCCTGTAACAATGAAATATGTTTCAGTAAACACTTAAATATAGCTTTTAATTTTCTCTCACACACAATAAGCGTTTGTTAAATAAAGTGTTATGGAAAAATAATAAAGCGTATTTCAGTTTGTTTTCTTCAACTTGACAAGAAAATCATACACAAGTGGAAATATTACATAATCAGTAACTACTACTCTTACAAATATTGTAATATACCCACATCCCCAAACGCTCCAGTAAAACCACGTAAATACAGCAGCACAATCACTTGGTACCATTTTGTTGGTGCCATATTCGTTTTATTTATCAAACGTGTGATGCGATTATCTTTTTATATCTACTGTCATCTATTCCCTACAAAAAAACTGTATCATGACGGAAATCATTCATTATATTAGTTTTGTGTTCAATTTTTTTACTTAGAGCTTAAAATAAGGCATAAGGAAATGTAATTTTTTTCAGAAAATTATTTCCCACGCTTGCCTACTGCGTGTCCGTGTGCAATAAAAAAGTTTCTAATTAAATTACCTTTTTGCTAATCATAACATAAAAAATCAACAAGGACAAATAAACATTTTTATAATTCATTCATGCAGAATATATTTTTACCATTATCACAAGTACAAACAAAAATTAAAGCGTTTCCTCGGTTTATCATTACCACACTTGCACAAACTTGTGTGAAACTATATTTTGTCATATTTTTCATGATAGCAGTATCGTTATATAACTTTGAAATCGTAAAGAAAAGTAGATCTGTCGACCAACAAAAAATCTCATAATTTTTCAGCTCACTCTCCAAAAAGTGGCGAAAATAACAACGTCCTATAGTAAGATCATAGTCGATGCAAAGTAATAAATCATTGTCTCTCAAAGGATCCAGTGCAATACGGTTTTAAAGGGTTTAGAAATTGAATTATTTTTTTATGCATTATGAAGGGATTAAGGGGTCAGTTAAAAAATTCCTTTATTCTCGTAAAATGTTTATTTTAAATGTAATTTGTTATAAATCCAATTTGTCTTTTAAATTCCTCATATATACTACATTTTACCTCTGTACACGCCACTCTTATATACTTGTTTTTTGAAGGCGATCTCTGATTTACGGCCCAGCTCGCCAGGTTAGTATTTGACGTATAACCGACCAGTTCGTACACTCGATGCACCTGGGCGACTACAGCTACTACCAGATCACAATGCGTATGATGCGGCATTTCAGATTTTGCATTAAAATTCATTTTAAATTTGAAATGGTTTATCTAACGCGTCCTAAAAGTGATGACACGATTTTCCTTTGATAAAAGACCGACAATTGTTTGCTCAACTTTGCGAATACGATCCTACTATAGAGCCTTCAAATTCACACTCCTAAATGACCGTAGGTTCGGTATTAACTCACATCAGCTTCAGTCTTTCAACGCCTCAGCGACGACCGTAATCCCCGAGGATGCAGTTTCTTCGGTTCCAAAATTTGGAGCCGTCTAGCGGAATCGAACCTGCCAGTGTGCGAATACCAACCCAGGTTTCCCGCAGTTTATTAACCAGAGCGCGGATGCCTGGCCAGAGCATGTACTCGACACGAATCTCAAGAATTCCTAGCAACCACCGCATTGCGTATATTGTATTATTATTTAAGTAAATCAATCTATTTAAAAAAGCATTTTGAGCCATAATTCTCCTAGAAATTACCAAACCGAGCGCAACGCCCACATACACAGCTTTCACGCAGCTCTTACGCTGCAATTCATATAAAACCTCTAAAGCTTAACGTACCGGCACTCTAAGGAGGCCGTACACTATCAAATTCAAGCGCTTTTAGCTAGTGCAAAGACAGTGGTTTTCAGAGACTAGGGAAGTAGACCCGCCAGTGATATACAGGGTTAAGTTGAAAACCCGTTACACAAAACATTTAAATAATACAAAGTTTTATTGAAATAAAGTGCAAATGTCCAAAGTGCGGCTTAGGTCAAACCACGACAATTGCAGCGTGGAACATCAACCACAAGCAACACTGAAAGAATGGTGGTTTCTTCCTGATCTAGTAATGGTCTATCATGCTAAGGGTAGAACTCTATCGCAAGCTTGTAAAACCGAGCAAAATCCACATCATGGCGCCCACTGTGGGGCTATGACAGAGGATAGACAACCATTCAACCTAAATCTGCGACACTACCTCTTCTACTGCTTGTTCTTACAAAATATATTGATGTCTCGCAAAAAAATGAGCTCCCTTGAGTTAGTTTTGGTAGTGAAATCCAATTTCACAATGCGACAATTTAATATAAATGTTACTAAACAGTTTATATAATGTTGTTCAATTTAGTTATATTGCTGGCGAAGTTTAATTTTAATCATTTCGATGAAGCCTTAAGTAATAAAGTCGAAAATTGGGTCAGGATTTTGTTGTCATTTCTCGCGTGTCCTGTTCCATATCAGCCAAGATAAGAAAAGGAAAAGGATAAGTAGTGAAAAACAAATAAAATTTCATCAGATCTTAAAATATTTACTTATAACGGTAATTGAAAATTGAAAGGTGGATTGAAATAATAACTTTTACACTGCTGGGGAGTTGTCTTTATTTTTAATAACATTCGGGAAATCATGGTTTTCTTACTTCTGCTTCAAATACTTGACACAGCACTTCCTCGCCTGTTCCGTTAAATAGTTTTAAAATCACCCTATATTTTCCCACTATATTTATGGGTATGTTTATATCGGTGCGATTTACTTTAAAATCAGTAAGTTTATAGTGCCCCTAAAAATAAGTCAATGGAAAATTTAAATTTGATATACCCACAACTTCCAAATTAAACATAGATATTTTGGAGGAATATCTTGTGGGGTATGAGTTGGACTTTTAGACATTTATAAAATTTTAATCGACATATGCCAAATTTGTAGCAGTGCAATTATTTGAACGTAAATTGATATCTACTTTACGTTTCAATTTTTTTCGCTGTAAATTCACTTACCAATTCCGCAAAACATTTATCTGTAATGGTTGGCATCATTTCCTTTTTAAAATTTTCCCAAATAGTTTCGGAATACTTAACTGCTATTTCACAGGCTAAACCATCCATTATAAAAAAATTTTCATCCCAGCCGCCATTATTCCATTTGTCGATTACTACTTTTACCTAGAAATTATTGTAAGCAGAATTGTCCGGACTGATATTTTTTGGAAATTTTTTATGATACCACTACAAACGTGATAGAATCTGCGTTAATATAAACATTCATTTTTCAGTGCAAGTACCACTAGTGTAGGGTTATTTTTTATATTTCGAAAATAGTATATTGTGCACCTTGTAGTAAAAGCCATTCTAAGCCGGAAAATAACTTTCCCGAGCGATTTCAGAAAAAAAATTGACTGTCAGAAGTCTCTAAGGTTGACATTTTCCTTACTGACAAAAAAGTATCTTGGCAACAAAAGTATTCACTTTTAATCCTACTATAACAATATACTATTTTTATTGCAGTCTTGAATTTCTTTACCGTCCATTTTTCCGTGAACTGTGCATCCTGTAAGTCTATTTCCATATTGAAAACCTTATCCCCGTTGTCGTTTATGTTACGTAGTTCGGCGTAGAAGTCCTCAGACGGTTCGGTATTTTCGCACAAATAAGTTATCTGGGGGATGATGTATGTATCAGCTGGAGAGTAAGATTCCTTAAATAAGAACAAACCACTTAATTTTTACATTCTTGTATTTATTTCCTCGGCTTAAATAATAACTTAAATTTTACAAAATGCACCGAAAAAGTGAAAAAGAAACAAACAGGATATATTTTTTAAGTGTTTTTTTGTTTATTAACATAACAATACTCACAACTCCAAAACCAGCATAAGCTCTTCCCATGAAGAGAAAGAGCATTACAAAACGTAAACCTGACAGAGGCATTGCAGGTGTATGTTGTTTCAATAATTAGTAACACTTCCTTTATATGTGATACTTCTAGGTTTCAATATGTAAAGGGTGCTGCCGGATATCGGATGCAATAATTAAATGAGATTATTGGCACGATTACAGTTTTTTCCTGATGTAACACAGCATTGTTAGGTATCAACTTCACAGTTCCTTTTTTTTTAATTTAATTATATACACGGTAGAGTCAGTTAGGCTCTCTAAATTCAATTACGTTGTTGTATGTCCTAAAGAACGTTTCTTTCTACTCACCGATTTACTTTCTGAAGATAAATAACCATTTATGTAGCATATTATGTTTTCTTGAAAGAAAATTGTAGGTCACAGAATGGCGTAAGTGGGAAATAACATGATAGACGGACCCACCACTTACGCTTTCTGTATACACATCTCCTTGTGAGTAACGACACTAAAGCAGCTGGATCATTCTAACGACATAATAATGAGGACCATCAATAAGTCCCAAACCGACCTATGTCTGGTTGGTTAAACTTACGAACGATCCTAACTGTTGTACTTTGTACTAGGTGTTGTAAGTTTGAAACGAAATATTGTTTATTATTGAGAAATATTTATACAAGTATAATAAAACCCAAACTTTTGTTAGCACTAGCAACAATTGGACGAATATAATTGTTGAATGAGAATCGAGTTATATTAGATACTGACCAGTAGATTTTCGTGTCATGTCCATACAGTAGATATGTACTTGATGTAAAGGGAAGAAAATAAAGGGTATCACAAATGTAACGCCAGTTTTGAATTGTGCGCCATTTTTATTCCGCAGAGTTGACAACATTGTGCAGAGTCACATTTTGTAGTAAACACATTGCGGTTAGACAAAATGGAGCACTATAAGACGTATGAGCGGGTGAAGATTGTGAAAATTCATTACAAGTACGGAGAGTGTGTAGCTGAGACTGTGCAAATTACGTGGAATTTTCGGTCCCAAATGAAACAACTGTGAATATATTAGTTACCAAATTTGAACAATAAGAAAACAGACCAGTCTCCCATGGCCGTTCAACCGAGTATATTGATACGGTGAGTGATAGTGTGGCAAAAATTGCCGTAACCTCAGTGTACCGTCGGTCACTGGTATCAAACATTTCGAAAAGCACAATGCAGCGGATTTTAACAAAAGATCTGCATCTGCATCCATTCAAAATTTTAGAAGATACGAAAGGGCTTTCTTTTCTTATTGTTATGGCTTAAATTAAAGGTAATATTGGCTTGGATATTATTCTTAAAATTTAAATAAAAAGTTCTAGTATCTATTTTGATTCTGGCTCCCAATTTAAATTTGTTTCTTCACTCAGTACAGCTTTTTTATTTGAACCAATAAACAATTTTATCCCTAATACCAAGAAGGGTATTTACTGGAAAAGGGATTGGTTTTGGAGAGAAAGTCTTCGTTCTGATTAAATTAATTAATAAAAACTATATTGTTACACTTATAATCCACTGACATAAAAAAAAATGTTGCTGTCATATTACAAATTTAATTAAAATTGTTAGTTTTAGAACGACTGCACCATATAGTTTTTTTAAACAAAGTTTAGTTAGTAATGATAAAAATAGAAAATTTGGTTATTAATTTTTAATTGCGTAATGACGCATCAAGTGTTTGTCTTTACATTTATAGTTTTATTTTCATATCTATATGTTTTAATATTGTCAGATAGGATTGGTTGAAAAAATAATAGTACCTAATATGTTCATATTCCCTTTATTTTTAACAATTTAAAAACAATTAATTATTATTTCTTAGCGATCTCAACATCAACCATAACACAAGTTATTTCAGTGTCATATTCATCAGAAATGACAATCTTAGCTTGATATTTTCCTGTATTCGTTATAGGCAGATCGACATCCTCATTTGACATTTTAAAATTAGTAATCTTATAATGTCCCTAAAAATATAAAAAAATATATATTTTATTACGTTGTCTTCAAACGCAGAAAAGTTATTGAGCATCGCACAATACAAAAAAATATGTATTAGCTTAAATTAATAAAATGGAAAATAATTATTTTCTCCTTCCCTAAGTTTGATCAACAAAAATTTAATCATGGGCTTCATGGACTTACTGGTTTTATTGAGCAAGTTCCTGGCATGGCTGGGGTAAAACCTGCTCTTGCTCTACTCCATGCTTTTCCAAATGACTTGGACAATGTCTCACAAACTCCGGGACGGCCATCGTTATTAGTTATTTTCCAAGCTCCATCTTCCCAGACGCTTATACGGACAGTAGCCTGGAAATTGTTACAAGTAAAAAAAATTTTACCTCATTGTTCGCTGAACTCTTGAGGACTTAAAAACACCCTGTATACTTTAAGCTCACCTGGTACAGATCGGTAAACTCTTCTTCCAACTCAAATTCTACATCCACCCCATCATCATGAAGATTTACATCCAATGGGACAACTGGTGTAAAGTTGTCACACTGATAAACCTTAAGCGGAATGAAAATTGCATCTTTCGGATCAGAAATTTCCTGGAAAGAGAAACAAACCTGGTAAAATGCAGACATTAAGCGGGTGCTAATTTTTCAAACAGAACTGATATTTCAAATACTACCCACATTCGCTGCCAATACTGCACTTCCACACGAGAAGAAAAAAAATAGCCCAACTCCCATCATTTTACGTCTGTTTAAATCGTGGAATGTGGACGTATTGGTTTATATATTGACCACATGACACGCTTGAATAGGAAAATTGTGTCGTGACGGAAATCAATAGTGATTAATATTTTATTGACATCTGTAAAAGTTATCAAATAAGGACGGTATTCGTTATTTTTTTATAAAAACTATGTCTTTCAACACCTTGTACCCGGATGTTAAAAAAATAAATCCATAGTTGAGTTTCCCATTATTTATTGTAAACAATTTTAAACTACTGAGACGTAAAACAGGTATAGAAGGAAAAACCTACAATCATGGGGTAAACGTAATGGCACTTTATTTATTAGTATTGTCAATTTTTTTAAACAATTTGGATTCAAAATGGGGGTTGTAGGTGATGGCAAGCAAATACACCTTTTCTTCAGAGGGCTGTATGGCTGGAAAGGTTTCTTAGTAAGGGATGATCTCGGAACAAAAAAACACACAAATTTTCTGAAATATATTAAAAGCTAGGTAGATCGAGGCGGATCTGTTTAGAGGTGGGTGTTAGAAGGGGCAAGCAAATTTTTTCTGGATTATCATCAATACAACTCACTTAGTAAAAGTGTAGATCCCTAGATCTGGGCGAGATCCGGAACATTTTCAAAAATGTTTAAAAAATTTTGAAAATATATTTTTTTACTTACATCTTGGAACCTATGCATTTTGGAAGAATATTGAAGAGGAAAAAAAGTTTTAGAATTGAATTTTGCACCATATACTGTAAGTTAAACGTGTTTAAATTTATTACCGATGTTACAAAATAGCAATAATGGATGAGAAAGGGGCAAAATAATCAAGTTTTTTTGAATAATTTTTTTAAAATATTTTAATTGCTCCGAGGGCATTCGAATTTTGGTAAAAGAAACTTTGGAGTATAATAAAACAACACACCAAATTAAAATCGGTTCGATAGTTTTCGCTAAATAATTTTTTGAAGAAAATTTTCGAATATTTAAAATGTTGCACAACCTCAAATAAAGCAACTAGATACTTGAAAATTTTTTCACATAGAAAAGAACGCTCAACCTTTCAAATTTTTAAAGTTAACTCTTTTTTTTATTTTTAAACAGTTAGATTACATTTATCAATTTGCTAGTTAGTTTTTTTCAAAAATTATAATTTTCAAATTTGTTGTGTTGTTTTATTATACTCCAAAGTTTTTTTACCAAAATTAGAATGCCATCGGAGCAATTAAAATATTATTAAAAAATTATCAAATAAACTTGATTATTTTGCATTTTTTTCATCAATTATTGCTATTTTGCAACATCGGTAATAAATTTAAACATTTTTAACTTACAGTATGTAAAATTCAATTCTAAAACTTTTTTCGTCTTCAATATTCTTCCAAAATGCATAGGTTCCAAGATATAAGTAAAAAACTCAGATAAAATAGGGTTTTTTAAATTTTTTAAACATTTTTAATAGGTATATTTAGTCAAAAATCATATATACGTTACATGTTTATAGAAATTGGTACATTTGCATCTTAAGGGGTGTTATTAAATTTATAATTGTGATGATGGGGTGGGGGCTGTAACATTTATTAAAAATATATTTGATTTTCATTTGTTTATTACCTACTGTGTTAATGTACCTAAAAGTCGGAACACTCTGTGTAAGTTAAGATCCAGAAATATAGACACTATGTCGGTGAAAGAATTTCATTTATTCAGGGATTGTTTATTACAAAAAGGAATAAGTACATTCTGAGTCAAAGGAGCAGTGCATTTAATTGCTACTTATAGTGTGCACTACTCTGCAGAGAATTAAGTCATCATCCTGCCACAACCCGAGTTCATGCTTCACCAAAGGAGGGACATTTTTAATATCACTTAGTACGGCATACTGACCACTGATGGGGAATTCTTCCAATTCATATTTGCCCTAAAATAAAACGAAACAATGGAAAATAAAAATTAATCAGTCTTATTCAAAAAATTGTCGAGCTTATACATACGAATCAGTAACCTCAGTCAAAAACCATCGAATATTTATAAACTTACAGCAGGAACAGGACAATCTTTAGGCCAATTGGGTTCAACGGAAACCCTGAACTTCCTGTATGGCAGCGATGTTAGAATGGAAGAGCAGAAGGATCTTATACCGTCGAATATAAAAACCCATTCTTCTTTTTGCTCGTCCCAAAAGTGGGATTCGTAATATTGCAAAATGTAGAAGGAAATATAAGAAATGTACCTTCGTTATACATTTACTTCGAAACATAGTTAAAAAATCATAACTTGATTTCAAATAACCCAAAATTGAATCTTATCCACATTTGCAGGAAACAAGATACTTTTCCACGCATATTCTTACCACGTATGCGTCATCATCTAGTTGTACAGGAATATTAAATGATCCAGAAAGTAACTGGTCCACTGATTCTTCGGAAGATATGTCCCAAATTAATTCGCCTACTTCCTCATCGGACGCGGAACAGTGCGTCACATTTACTACGTCTACTGTAAATCCCTGAAAGCATTGAAAACTATTAAGTACATTCAGAAAACCATAATATAGGAGTCTGCAGAGGTGTTGATGGTTTTGTCGGTTTAATTCCTGGTTAAAATGACTTCTAAGTCAAGTTAGTCTATATTAGTAGTCAAATAAATTTTTACTTACATTTACAGTACTCATACAAAAAAGTAACATTAAACTCCACTTCATTTCTGTTCAGTGAAAGTGCCTAATAAATTACTCCCTTGTGTCTGATGGATTTATAAATTGTATCGAGCCTTCAATTTTCTCTTAATTATACTCCGTGTTAAACATAATAATATGGTGATGTACTGGATTAGTCATTACATATGGGACGTACACAGAAATGCTTGTACGTGTGTGTGAATATATCACATAGAGATTCCTATAATTACCTTGTTTACAATTTCCTTTTATAAAAAATACAACTCTCTGAATCATAACAATATATTTTAAATTACAGAATTAATTTCGACAACCTTGAATAATATAGTTCGAAAATCACCCACGTTTCGAAAAGTATACTTTAAAAAGACACGGAACCATAGACAAACAACCGCAAACTCTTTTGAGAGGGACGCTTTTTCAAAGACCCAATTGTCCAATTCCGACGCGAACCTCGCTACAGGACCCTCTGCGAAGCCAGCATAGAAAGTGTTCGGACGTCAACCCACAAACCATGCAGTTCAATAACCAGTATCGGATCCTAGCCAGTACATGTTACATTATTGCATAATTTTTATGTTACATTTCATTTATTGTTAAATGAACAACAAATTGCAATAAATCGTACAAATTTAAAAAAATCGATAGTTTCCCCAAAAAATTTCAAAGCTCATGTTGCATACACCACCCAAGTGAAGATCCTAAGAGATACAAGCTAATGTAATTCAATGTATTTGATGGTGTTTTTCTGCTTCTTCATTCATTTGCCACTATCGCAGTCACGCCTGCTCATCTCATCATTACCCGATCAAGCTGGCTGCTGGCTGGTATTTACACACATTCATTTGTCCTGTGTCCCGTCAGCGTACCTCAACGTATGAATCATGTGCAGATCGCTCGCTAATATGATTACATGTGTCAGTCATGTCAAGCGTCGACAAGCCGAGCCAAATTACGTTGCGGTTTGCACGCGCCTAACAACGGAATGCCCCATGTGTTACCGACCAGGAAATTAACCATTCGTTTATAACCCGACTAATTTCTGGAGAGGAAAATAGGATGCAATTAGCGCGTGAGGGTGTAGACTCGCAGAATCATCATTACCGATTATTTTCAGACGGAAATAAAAATAAATATGAATAATGTAGAATATAGTTACAGTGGTATGTCTCCTGAATTTGTTTTCGAGAAACACTGCACAGATCAATATTATGGGCAGTGTATTGACGTGTTGTTGGGACGAGCGTTCGCTGGAGAGTCCTCGTGGTGTGGAGTCGTTTGTAGGTATCTGGTCCTTGGCACCAATCTGCCGTGGTTCTTTTCTGGAACCCTGTTGCGTCCCGCGCTTGTTTTTTGTCCTTGCAACTGTTAGACCGGTCCGGGTAACGTCAGACTGGCGCTATTGACGTAATACTTAAAAATAGGTCACTTGAATGAATTGGAAGACAAAGAAAACTCCATAATTTGATTTTAATATCGGAACTGTTTCAGGAATCGGTAATGTAACGCTAGATATGAAGAAAATAATATGTGTATAGGGGATATAAACTTTTAAAGAGTAACAAATGTTCGGACACGACCGCTGCGCGCAGGGGTGATCAGATCGGAGTGATTTTGGTATCGTTGTGGAAGATTCCGGTCTATTTTTCTCTTGTACTTTTTTAATCATTCCTTCTCAATAATAGATACTAGTCCATCTTTCTCCAATAATCTGTTATTTCCCTTACGCTCTTCTAAGTTCGATTTTAACATCTTGAAAAGGAAATTTTGAAATATTTCCTGACTGAATGTGTACATTCATCTTTCAACGAATTGGACTAATTTTCAGACCCAAGCTACTGATATTTTATTGCTTTTACTGCTATATGGCATGAGGATGTGATTTACAATAACAGAATTATCTGCTAACAACTACATCACAGTGGCCTGGTAGATCTTGGTTGCCGTGCACTGATTTCGACGTTGCGGATGTAACAATGCTCTGCCATATGTTACTTACTAATTAGTGACAATTACTGCGACTCTAATCGAATATTCTCATTTTGGGCGCAACATATGTAGCGAGAAATTTAATTACAATTAAGTCTGAGCAGGCTGGCGTCTTTGTTACATAATAAACTGACGTTTAATAAGTGATACGCCTGGATTGACTGGGAACGTGATAATCCACATCATCTAGCGTTGAGATATGGTCCAGATAATCATTGATGATGAATCGAAGAGAGTAATTAAATCCGACAGAAATGGTTAAAAACCACGACCTTACAAAATCGTGTCTAAAATATTATATACTTCAGATCACGTTCATAAAACGCACTCGATTTAATTATTGAAATGAGTATAATGAATTCTCGTCCAACCCAGCCGTGCGCTTGCCTGCGAATACCACTCGCTAAAAACTTCATTTTCCATGCGGCGACAATACAGAACGATAGTGTAGCGAATTTCCTGGTAACCGTGTCAAATTTCTCTCGCTTGAACGGACGGTACAATATGATGTCTGACATAACGCTCGCAACACATCGTCCTTTGTTCCTCAACTTCATTAAAACCTCTGCCGCTACTGCTAGTTATCGTCCATCGCATTGTCTGTGTATATTGAAAACTAGATCCAACGCCGCGGCATTAGCCTATTCAATGGAATATCTTTCATTGTTCGACGGAACACCGTCGCAAACCGAAACGTAGCTGTGTAAATGACGCTTGGAGCAGGAAACAGTGCTGCAGGAAGTGGGTGGGTGGGGGTAGCTCGTCCCCACGGCGATTATTTGGTTTAATTCGATCTTCTGGTAAGAGAACCGTACGGTAGAGACTGTTAGCGCGCCACTGGAATGGAAAGACGCCATAAAAAATCGTTATATCACAAAAATATTCTTTACCATACGACTCAAACGTATAGGAGATAAAATTGTTTAGTGTTCTGATATAAACTAAACTATTAAAAATAAAACAAAACAAAATGTGGTAACTGTGCTGTAATAAATAAAATAGGATCTGAATGAAAAAACATACAGGATCAGCTAATTTGTTTTGTATGTGGGTTTTTACTTATATCTTGGAACCTATGCATTTTGGAAGAATATTAAAAATGTTTAAATTTAATACCGATGCTGCAAAATAGCAATAATTGATGAAAAAAAGGCAAAATAAAACAAGTTTTTTGGATAATTTTTTTAAAATATTTTAATTGATCCGAGGGCATTGGAATTTTGGTAAAAAAAAACGTTAGAGTATAATAAAACAACACACCAAATTTTATTAAAATCGGTTAGTTTTCGAAAAATAATTTTTTGAAAAAAATTTTGAAAAAAATTTTCAAATTTTCAAAATGTTGCACAGCCTCAAATAAAGCATATAGATACTTGAAAATTTTTTTTACATCGAAAGGACCTCTCAACTTTTCGAATGGTTTTTGAAAAATTGAAATTGGTTTATTAGAACGGCCACAGTAAATTTTTAAAGTTAACACTATTTTTTTATTTTTAAACAATTAGATTACATTTATCAATTTGCAATTTAGTTTTTTTCAAAAATTATAATGTAATATTTTGAAAATTGAAAAAATTTTTTAAAAAATTATGTTCAAAAAATTATTTTGCGAAAATCGTTCGAACCGATTTTATTGAAATTTGGTGTGTTGTTTTAAATGTTACTCTAACGTTTTTTTTACCAAAATTAGAATGCCCTCGGAGCAATTAAAATATTTTTAATAAATTATCCAAAAGTCTTGATTATTTTTACCTTTTTTTCATCGATTATTGCTATTTTGCAACATCGGTAATAAATTTAAACATTTTTAACTTTGCTGTGCAAAATTCAATTCAAAAACTATTTTTCCTCTTCAATATTCTTCCAAAATGCATAGGTTTCAAGATATAACTAAAAAACTCAGATAAAATAGGTATTTTTTTATATTTTTAAACCTTTTTGCAATTTTGAAAATATTCCGGACCTTGCTCAAATCTAGGGATCTACACTTTTATTATGTGAGCAGGAGAGAAGGTAATTCAGAAAAAATTTGCTTGCCCCCTCTTAGATCAGCCCTGGTTCTCTATGTCCGTGTCATCGTTCAGAAGTATTTAAATTTGAAAACTTAAATAATCTACTTCCTATTGTGTGCCTGTTAATCTTTCGTATACAGTGTGTCCTGTTTTTCAGGAACACCTCTGGAAATGTGAGGAGGCTGTGGATTTTCCGCAAGCCAATTTTTTTTACAAATAGTACCCTGATGGGAGGTCATATTCTACTAATCATTTTATTGATGTGACAAAAACCTGGCCTACTACGATTTTTTAAAAGGGTCGTTTTCCAGAAAGTAGTATTAAGCATTTTTTATCAAAAAGATAATAAATATTACCAGGCTATCAAAATACCCATATACCAAATTTGAACGACAAATGTCTATGAAGTGTTTTTTATGTGGTGCCAAATTTCGAAAAATCATACAACTAAAAATTGTAATAAGCAGATCAAAGATTCCCATGAAAGTGAAAACAAGTACCAATCAGACAAAGAAAAAATACAGGCAGTGTAAATTTAAAACTTTTAATTTAATTAATTATTATTAATTAATTATAAAAATAATAATTTACAAAAATGTAAAGAATTATAGATACTAAAAAACTTGTTAAACAAAAAAATTGCTAAATTAAGTTTTAATTTTCTCCACCAAACCTTCCAGTCGAATACATTTTCCAATCCTCTTTTTCTTTTGTAAACCCCCAAAAGTAAAAGTCCATAGTTCGAGAAAATTAAAATTTAATTTAGATTGTTTTCCAGTTTTGGTAATTTTAAATTTTATAATTCACCTACATTTTTTGTACGTTAATTATTATTTTTATTATGGCCGCAATTAAAAGTGATAAATTTATAATGTCTGTATTTTTCCTTTGTCCTGTTAGTACTTCTTTCCACTTACATGGCAATCTTTGACCTGCTTATTATAATTTTCAGTCCACAGCCTTCTCACATTTTCAGACGTGAAAAACGGGACACACTATGATTTTAATGTTCATTTATAGCTAAGGTGTTTTTTAAATCTTGGTTCCGTTCTCTTAGCGTAGTCCGGTATGGTCTAGTGGCTAGGATACCTGGCTTTCACCCAGGAGGCTCGGGTTCGATTCCCGGTACCGGAACACTTTTTTAAAT